ATTAAAGTTAATGTCTTGATAGGTTGTACAAAGTAAGTTTGATAGTGTTGAGTATATGATTAGAGGAATCAGGCTTTAATTATACTGCAGGAATTAAATGAGGGTTTAAACAGATGTATGTCGATGTTTACTTTAATGAATCAAGACTTTTCTCCGATTCTCTGTGATGGCATGCAACAACTTTCCTCCAGAGCTTAAAGTAACACGAGGTAAGATATGCATGTACAAATGACGTCTTTAAATCTGAAGTATTCCTTTATTTCTACATCTGCCCAAATTAATACAGGCCCTGACTCTGTTTTCATTACTTTTTGGAGAAGAAAAAGGAAACATTTTAACATTTCGCTGAGGCATACAAAAGGCTCAGCCAATGAGTATTTGTTGATATCCTTGTTATCAAAATAGTGGGGCTTTTCTGACATTGAAACATTATGGATATCAAGCTAGAATAATGCTTCTGCTGATGTTTCTGCAGACCCACGAAGTTAAGGGTTACATTGATTAACCATAGCTCGCTGAGATTAAGGAAACACCTCCCAAATGACGACAATTGAAGAAAAAGTAAACCCAAAGTCTATACGAGCATAAAAAGCAATGCAAGGAAGAGGTCATCACTAGATAGCCCAACATTAAACGCATGGATGGATATTACAATGGACATTTACAAAATGGAGAGGATAACATCATCTGTCAATCATAAAATGGAAAAAACCTGAATTCTGACATTTTTTCCCTCAAAATTCAGACTTTTTTCTCAGATTTAATCTCAGAACAAGAAAAAAAACCTTTGGTCAGATCTAAAAACTTTTTACTGTTTTTATTTTTGCGTTATTAACGCGTTAACTTGACAGCCCTAATTTTTATATATCTGAGACCTATGCTATTGCCTAAAAATAGCATGATAGGTGACCTTTAAGACAATTATTCATTGACTTTGAAAACATCCATTTATTGAACTTTAAAACAAATTAAAATGATAATTTGAACAGTATGTTTTTAAGAGTTGAATACCCTGAACTTTAAGTATAATTCAACTGAAAAACCAATACAAAAATAAAATTATACATTTATATCTACATTTAAATAAATAATATCAAAAATAATAAATACCAATAAAGAAGATCAACAAATATTTGAGCGCACTTCCCCAACCTACTAAACATATATAAATATGAAAACTAATGTCACTCACGACCTGTAATGTTTAATTACACTGCTCCACGCAGTACTCTCTCTTTGGTAACCCCTCACCCGGAAACCGGAAGTAGCTAAGAGGCTCCGGCTTGACGAGGTTAGTAACAGCTGACTGTACGCTAGAGCTGACCGGAGAATAAAGACACGGCAACTAAAGCTTCCCTTGTAACGTGTTTATATGGATTTATTAAAACAGTCTGCAAGTCACAACACAACCTGGCCGAGAGGGCTTTTAGGGAGGGGCGAAAGCGCACGCTGTAGCGCAGGATGTATAACGCAAGACAAATTGAGAGCATCATTGCGAAAGGGAATGCAGCAAAATAATCGTTTTTTTTTCAATTACGTTGTTTTCATAATCGTTGCAAGCCAAAATCGAGATTAAAATACGATTAATCGCACAGCCCTACAATGAACTGACCACTTTTTACCAATTACAAAAAACGTGTAAACAGAGATCCATAAGTGACAAGCCAGATTAAAAACAATTGTACAAAACGTTCTTGTTGTTGACTTGTGTATTTAAATCCAACTGCACAAAGTGAATATGAAATAGTATTTAGCAAAATGAGAATTTAAAGCATACTGAACTTATGAATGTATAATGGAAAGTGGGATTAATTGCAGGAATAGTAAGAAAAAGTGTCTTTGCCGTCTTCTGCAAAAAAGCAAGCTACAGTTAAAAAAAGAATAAGGTATTTCGGACGGACAAACTTAAGAAGTACAATTACTGTCTTGAAAAAACACTGTGTAATTGTTTGTTACAATGTCAATAAAAAATATTAAAAATGCAAGTGTACCAACAACCCCATGCACGTATCCACAGTTTGTGCACAACGAGACAATGGTTCACGCAGAGCAGTACAGTGAAGGTGAAACTAAGTGACACATGGAGGCAATGGACCCCACATGGTGCGGCAGGACTTTGAGACATGACAGAAAAGCGCCTGTTTACACTGCAGCGGAGGAAGAGGAGGAGGAGGAAGTTCATCCCCTGCACCCACATGAACCTCAAATTCTTCTGGATGTTGCGGGCAGTTCCTGCTGCCTCTCGTTACCTTTGCTGCAAATATTTTGTCTGGGAAGGAACCAATCAATTTCCCAACGCTGCAGCGTGTCCATGTGTGTGTTCAGGCGGTGTGTGTCGTGCATGAAATGGCACGATGGCAGTGACTGAGTGGCAGGGGATTAGGGAAAGCTAAACAAAAAAGCCACTGGGGGCAAAAAATCCACAGATGGAAACAGTAAAAGTGCTTCGAGAATGACCTCCCTTCATTCTTTCACAACAGATGGAATTGTTCATGTTACGCACCAGGAGAGGGAAACAGATTTGTTGGCTGCAATGGCTGATGGATCCCAAAATCAGATGAACCAATTTATAGAGTTAATATTAAAAAAATGCATAAGAATCCCCTAAAAAGGTACCCGTCAACATGGCTGTTGCATTGTGTTTTATTATGTATTCATTTCAAAAGGCGCGTTCACACCAAGTACTTTGCCGTATTTAGTGCCGGCACTTATTACCCCAGGGCACTTAGTACAGATCGCGTTCACACCGGAATAAGTTCCCTGAGGGAAGATTACGCAAATGAGCCGCTGACGTCACTTCGTCTTCTTCTGCTTTGGGTTTACTGGCAGGCCGCAAACCACTTCACGGTGTATACTGCCACCCGAAGTCCCCGGCCGGAAGTCCCCGGAGTTGGGGACTGGCTTCAGTAGAAGCTGCTGGGACTCCCAGCAGCTTCTACTGAAGCCTTCAGAGTAAATCGCCAGAACGCCGACACCTCCTCATCACTCCACCGCTTCCATGTTTTATTTTGTGTTGCCATAAGTTAGTCTCTCTGCGTTTGTGCGCTGGGCTAATGCTAATGCTAATAATGCTAATGCGAGGATAATAAAATGGCGGCTCTACATTTCACAGTTGTACGGGGCGTGGTTTGCAATTCGCCCAGCCAATCAGAACTGGGGCACTTTTTTCCCCCAGGAAAGTACCACCTCTCAGCAGGCACTAAAAATGGGGGTAAAAGTGCTCTTTTTGGTGTGAACGTGACATAAGGGGTACTAACGGAACTAAACGCGAAAAGTACGGTGAAAAGTACCATGCATACAAATACATTAATCTCAGAAAAGAGAAGATGTGAATTATGCCAGATTATAGCTAATAGCTCATTTCCATCTGCAGTCCTAATATAAATTTTAGGGAAATTCAAGCGCCGTCACCAGAGTTTCCGTTATAATATTATTTTACCGGTCAACATGTCCGTTAAAGTTTAAATCTTCCGGACAAAATGAGAAAAGTGCCGGTCAAAGGTCTTCTTTGTTATTTATTGAGCTTTAAAACAAATTGATATGATTCGATATTAAACAAACTAATTATAGTAGATAATCAAAAGTGTACAGTAACTTATAACACAGGAATAATAAACGGAGCGCTCTCTCTCTCTCTCTCCTGACAGCCCGTCAGTATCTGTGTAAAATACTGTGTAATATATACAGTAAAATATGCTGAAGACCGGCAAATCGAAATCTATCCGGTCAAAATGTCCGGTCAAAATAATTTCTCTTTAGCACAATACCGCATCAGTTGCGCCACTTATGTGACAGACAAGAATAGTAGCCTATGTGATATTCTTTCCTCAAAATTCTGACTTCTTTGTCTTTAAATCTAATTTAAATCTCAGAACACAAAAAAAAAAGTTTTGGTAAGATCTAAGATGTACACATGGCCCTAACTTTCTTCCATATAAATTATATGAAAACCTAAAGAAATGTCAAATTATAAGAAAATGTTGCCTGCTTCTTGAACCTGAACACCTAGGTCCCTTTTGACTGGCGACACATCACCAAAACTTCTCTGGATTGTATCCAAGCTTGTTAAATTCCTCCCGCCTGCCCCTTACACTTTGTGTGTTTGTTTGTCTGTCTGATACCGTCTGTACAGGCACATGCCATAACAGGACATTCCAAACTAAACCCCCAAATATACACACACACCGCAAGGAGCTCCGTGCTGCATGATGCTACCACATGGCAGCCAAACACACCGAGAAGCATCAAAGGAAACTGATCCAGCACCTGTTTTGTTTCTCCAGTGCTCAAGACGAGTCTAAAGTGTTTTTATTTGGCCCACATCAACAGGGGTGTGACAGTGCGTACTAGTGTTGCACGGTGCACCGGTACTAGATAAGTATCGCGATACCCTGCCGTTAAAAACGTTACGAGTCCTCCATTTCATTAGTATCGGTACTTTAAGAATGACATTGTTTTAAGAAGAGCCGTATTTCCTGTGTGTGTTCAGTGCTCTGCTTCCACTCCCTGCAGCCGTGCCTGCACTGCCTCCCTGTTGCATTTATTAAGGTCTTTGTTACAGATCGAACTTTGAAGACACTCGACAGACCTATTTTGCTGCTGCTTCGTTCGCTTCAAAACACATACCACCGCTCGCATGCACACACACACGGTCGCGCCACACCCCTCTCTCTCTCTCTCTCTCTCTCTCTCTCTTAAAGGCATAGCGATCTGACTCGGCATGACCCTAATATTATAACACTTGTCATTTGACCTTGAATGCCATTGCTTTAATCTATTGTTCTCATTGTTCAAAAGTTTGTGTTATGACTGAAAAATGTCCCAGGTTTGAAATAAAGCACAATAATTACATTTAAGACGGAATCGCAATTCTTGACTTGGTATCGGTACCGAAACAAAAATGTTGGTATCGTGACAACACTAGTGCGTACTGTGCTGGATATCCTTTACACATTTTGACCCGAAACACATCTCTACCCCCACCCCTCCTATCCCCTCACCTGTCCACCATGTTGGGGTCAGCATTTCTGGACAGCAGGATCTCCACACAGCGGGCGATCTTATCTTCACTGCCAGTTGCCGAGCAGCAGGCCATTAGCACCGTCCAATTATCTGCGACAAAAGAACACGTTAGTGCAGAAGTTCATCATCACAATGTTACGATTTAGTTATATTTAAACTAACCTTTAGCTTAGCATCAATTGGACAAAGGTAATAGGCTGGCAAAAAGGTTTTAACAGAACCATGCAGAACAGTTTAGGTTCCTTTCTTATGTGTAGTTTATTTATTTGGGTGAGCTACCAGAAGATCTAACAGGGAATGATAGAAACCTTATGAAAATACTCACTGTTATTCGTACAAGCCTACAGTAGACCATTAGATCGAAATCTTGAAAGAAACTCATAAGATGGAGAGCTTGACATTTGTATTAGGACTAAGAAAAGACTTATACACTGTAAGATGGTCCAATTGGTTAAAATATATCTCCTGGTCACCTACTATTAGTACGGGAATTCTAGTAACCGTGATTAATTGTGAACAAACTACACTATGCATTAGTAAAGCACCATCTGTTTCCATAATACAGAGGAATTTACTTTCTGAAAACACAAAAAATGTGGTTATCGCAGTTGCTTATCATTTATTGTCTGAAAAACTCTAGGAAGTCTATGTGCAGTTAAAGGATTTGTGTATCAGTGTATTTTTTTGCAATTTACTTTAGTGTTACATGGACATGAATAATTTCCTCATCACTAGGGATGCTCCGATCGCCAATTTTGGGGCTGATTGCCGGAATCAGTATCGCCCGATACCGATCGAGTGGGCGGGGCCTATGGGGATCTTCCATTTAAAGTGATGTTTAAAACTCAGTTAATGGGGCTCATTCACTGGAGCTTCCACAAACAACAACCAACATAGTTATTACATTCAAATGAAGTACATTATTCAAGTTTACATTAACTTTGGATAACACGGGAGAAATGAGCGGAAGCCTCTCTTTTCCTCTCTCCCCCTCTCTCCCCCCTCTCTCTCTCTCCTCTCTCTCTCTCTCTCTCTCTCTCTCTCTCTCCCTCCCTCTCTCTCTCCCCCTCTCTCTCGACAGCCTGTCAGTATCTCATGCAGCTCACTGATCCAGTAATGAGTGACCCGACAGTGAAGAATAATATATGTATAACTAGTTTAGCTTGTTCCAAAGGGAGATAAAATAGCTAAGTGTGTTAGGTCTAACTCTTAGTGTGTGTTTCACTCCGCTCACCGGTCCGTCACAGCGGGTGGAGCTGCAGGATTTCTGCTTCACACACGTTGCATACCGCTATTTTATTGTCTTTTTCAGACACCTTAAAATAATGCCAGAAGCCGGTGAAGCCATTTTGGCGAGCTTGTTTTGCTGCTCACAGAGAAAAGTGTCATGTATTTTACGTCATCATTTTACGTCACGCGATCGGCTCTCGCGATCGGCATTTTTAGAGACACCGATCGATCGGCAGAGAGTGAGTATCGGCCGATATCGATCGGAGCATCCCTACTCATCACCAACTACATTTGGCAAACAGTCCAGTATTTGTCATTGGAGAGCGTGTTGCAGTCATTTACTTTCTTAAAACTCTTGATCACATGCTGATGTTGCTTGTTTTTAAATTGTCTGAGAAACCTCGATAAAGTCTACGTGAAGATAAGGGTCTAAAAGGTTTTGGAGCACTAAGTTAAACTCAGTGTAGTTTCTTTGCATTTACACTAGTGGTTATATGGACATGCATAATTTCCTCATCAACAACTACATTTGGCAAACAGTCCGATATTTGTCATTGGAGAGCGTTTTGCATTTACTTTCTTAAAACTCTTGATCACATGCTGTTGTTCTAGTATTGTACTGTGCTGATGTTGCTTGTTGTTTATCATCTTAAACAACTCAATAAAGTCTACGTGAAAAAAACGTTTGAAGAGTTTTGGAGCAAAGTTAAACTCAGTGTAGTTTCTTTGCAATTTACATTAGTGGTGCATTAGTAGTTATATGGACATGCATAATTTCTACATCACCAACTAAATTCGGGCAGATAGTCCAATGATGGTCATCGGAGTAAGACATTATGGGTTTGAAAGATACTTTTTTATATTTGAATGTAGCCTATATTTCTACAAACAGATGATCCAGTCTTACAGTGGCCAGGTAGCGGAGGAAGCATTTGTTTAAAGTTAACAGAATGAGATTCATTTCTAAGAGCTTGGTGTTAAAAAAGCTACGACGAGCAATAGCCACACTTTATCGGGACGTGTTTAGTTCAGTCTTGGCGACTTAAAGGGGACCTATCATGCAAAATGCACTTTTGTACGTCTTTTATACATGAATATGTGTCCCCGGTGTTCCAGAGAACTCACCAAGTGTCAGAAAACACAACCCTCTCTATTTTCCTCCATACCCAAATCTCTAAAAAAGGGGCTGCAACGGATCTGATAAAAACTGATCCAGATTTGAACACTGTCCTGACGTCAGGACGGTGGCGCTACGGCTATTGGGCCAACTCCACCAATCAGGAGGAGACAGCCACGGCCATTGCCGTTCGAAAGCGCTGGAGACGCTGTAGTACATATGCCAGGCCTGTAGGTGGTGCTGTTCTCACAGAATCAGCCCTTGCAAAAACAGAGCTATAAATTGTCAAATTGAGCAAAATGAGGCATGGCTAAAATGCATGATCTGTTTGGTATTTTGAAAAGAAAAAAAAGTATAAATATGCCTTATATAGGTATGGTCCTACACTATATTATTCAAATATAGCATGATAGGTCCAGTTTAAATGACAGTTTTTTTTAGCGGTTTGTTTGTAAAGCAAAAATCCTTGGGACTTATTTGGAAGTATTAGTAGCATGCCCATTATTAAGGGCTTTATTTTCTTTGTCTAAACGGATAAGTGTTCCCCTGATCCACTGTCCAATCTCATGTGTGTATTTGGAGAATGTATTCTGGTTACTGTAGTTGCCTCATGGAAACAAATAACAAGTGTGAAATCCTCATTACTGTAATTACACTACCTAGAAAACCGAATTAGAGGGGAAGAGGGATACCTTTTTCTCATCACGATGAAGTCATACATCATGCTGTAATGAGGAAATGACAAAGAGAAATCTGGACGATATGCATGGTGATGGAGATGGATAGCCGTTTATCTGGCATCAGGAAGTGTGTGTCAGGCTTTATGGGACAGAGTGACTTCAGAGATGTTGTTTCCTTATCTCTTCCTGATAAAAACCAGTCTGAGACCCATGGCAATGCTTTCAATTCCTGTTTTGTTCCGCCAATCTCCAACATGTGTGTATCATAGTGTCTAAGAGTGTGTTTGTGTGTGTGTGTGTGTGCATGCCTCTCTACATCTGCATGTGGGTTCCTGTGGCTTTGTGTGCATGTTTGGCTCCATATCTGTGCGCAAGTGTGTGTATGTTTATACTATGTGTGTGTGGGTGTAAACCAGACTGCCTGGTTTGCGTATGCAGAGAAGTGGAGTAAATAAATGTGAGGCCTGAGAACGGGTGAGGGTGTGTGATCAGTCGTGCATTCCTGCGCTCGGCCACCAGGACGCGACCACACGTCATCCCTCTTTTTAATCACTTCCTTCACCTGCCTGCAGCCTCAGATGCAGAGAAATCAGTCACACTCAATTTGACTCCACATTCTGGACTGAGGAATTAATTGACATCAGATATCGAGAGCATGACTAGTGCTGAGGGTCTAAGGGACAACGAGGGGCTACAGGAAGGTCTCTAATGGACCCCTGAAACAATTAAGAATGCACCGTCCTCAAAATAACTAGTTGTACTTACTTGTAATTGTGGCACGGTGACAGGAATGCAGAAAAATGTGAACGTGTAATGTTTATTTTTCACCACTTTTATCTAAAAATGTTTTTATTACTCTTATCCTGAATTACGCTTTCACAGTTTTCTCATTGCATGTCTTTCCTATAGTATTTTGTTAATGGGGGCTGGTGGTATGCATCATTTCGACACTGTTAATACTTGAATTGATATGCTCTGATCTTTGTCATGTTATTTGCCAAACATTTCATCATGAATTTGCAGTATTCTGTTCTAAACTTCCCTTCAAACTTTCCACAACACCTTATTCATTTAATTCCCCTGTAAAGAGGAAAGAAACCGCAGAAGGTGACTACGGCTACAATCTTTTTTACATTTAAAACTAAAAGAAAGACTTAGAAACGGTGCAGGCGAACTCAAATTATCAATAACAGTTATCCGTTAAAGTGTAAAATGTTCTTATAAAAATAACTTCTCATTTGTTTTTTTTAAATGTCAAAAAATTGTTAAAAACGGCTATCACATGGTCGCGAAATTCAAAGTGAGGTCTTCAAATTGCGTATATTGTCTGACCTGCGAATGTTTGCCATGTCAGCTGACTATCACAATTGTTTATCTTTCGACTAATCTTTTAAATAAAAGAATGTTTTTAGCACATACTGCATGAACGTGATGTGATCAAGTAGGGCTGCACGATTTTGGGGAAATAAAATCTAATTGCGATTTTTCTGACGATTGCGATTCGATTTGCGATATGTTTTTTTAAGCGACCCAACGGAAGTTTATTGTAAAATGCGGCCATATCTCCGGCTAGGAAGGTCGTATCAACGTGCTCCCGTCTCTAGCACCCCCGCAGCCCGAGCTACGAGTGAAAGAACTAAACTTACATGAAACTTCCGTTGGGTTGCTTTATAGTCAAGCTTCAGTTTAAGATTCACCCTGTAATAGATGTAAAACATGTGATGGAGCGTTACTGACCTGACTCAGATGGTTTCACCAAACCATCTAGGAAAGCTCCATTGGAAGCCATTTGGAAAGGGCAGGCACTTTCAAAAATACTTGGCAGGTGATTGGATCAATCTGTCTATCACCTTCTATCATGGGCCACTTCTGATTGGTTAACAATGGCTGGTACATGTGGAGCACAGCACTTCTGATTGGTGTGGATGACTGACACACAAGAAGAAAAAAATAAATAATGTATAACTAAAAAAAATCACAGGCTTTGCGATTTGATAATTGCATCATTTAAAATCGCGATTTCGATTAAAAATCGATTAATCGTTCAGCCCTATGATCAAGTATAGTCTTCAATAAGCAATTACTTCAATTCTCATTCGCATAAACTTACGACAACTTATCGCTTATTTGAAATAAAGCTTCCAGCGATTACATCTCTTGTCTTGTCGTGCTGATTAAATGGGCAGTAACAGTGTTTTTAACAGCAGAATGGTCTTAAATTCCAAGAATACCAACATTATAGTCTGCCAATTGTTCAAAGAGTTCAACAAGCAGCTCATTGACAATATTCTTCTTGCCTTCGACTAATAAAGGCCAAAAGAATACCACTTGAAGAGCCCTTCCTTTCTGACAGGAGTGGAGCTTTCTGCCCTCTATAGATAAGAAATGATGCATTACTGAACTAACTCTCATCGAACATAAAGCTTATTTTCCTAGGGATCTATTGCTGCATTTTTCCAACAGCATTCACGGTTTTACATGTAAAAAGCTGCAGATTTCTTGACATGGAAGAGCTCTTCTCACCATGCTTATTTCACCCAGTCTGACCTCGATCCAACAGATGCCTTCAATTTCTCCTGCTGTGGGACGAGGGTGCATTATGCATGAACTACTCTAAGGATCAGAGGTGTGTTTCTGCAAGAGTTCCTCTTTGGCGTCATCACCATTAAGTAATGTCAGATGAAGCGTTTTGGCCCGCTTGGCCCCTTTGCTTTTTGGCTGCAGCAGGTGAGGAAATTGATAAAAGGTGCCACAGGGAAGATGGCTCCACACCAAGACAACAGGGACCGTGGGGAGGATTAAGGATGGCTGTTAGATATCAGAGCCTGGAAGGCAGCAATGTAATGCTGTTGCCTATCAAACTATCTGCACTAGTTCTTTTTCTTAGAAGGGGTTGATTTGGGGTGGGGTTGAGTAGGGATCACAGAGAGATCAGTAGTGCCTACCTGTATATCATGATAAACCAATCAAAATAGTATGCGTGATTCATTTCTCTTTCAATCTTTAGGGAAAATAACTTGGATGTGTATTTTGTAAATTGTGTAACTTTTTTTGTTTTAATTTATTTTCTTTTTTTATATCTTCAATACTTTTGTATGCATGCTTTAGGTAACATTACGCTGTCTTTGGCTCTTCTTCTGCTGCAACAATGTAAATGTCCCCTCTGTGGCACTAATAAAGGTATTCTGATTCTGATTAAAGAAATGTTTTATAGTGGCCAAATGATGGTACTACACATTCATTATAGTCTGTGGGTGTTTCTCAATGTTGAGGACGCTTCCTTGGTAGCACATGTACCTCCGAGTCAGTTGCTTCAGAAGCTAGGCAAGAACCCTTCCTAGCCTCGGAAAACGAAGAATGGTGGAACAGGCTAACAGGAGTGCGTCATATGCGAGGCCCCCGCCTTAAATGGAGCGCGATTTCCGCCAAAGATTTGGAAATTGGTCCGTGCGCAAAGCATTGTGGGGATTTTAAGACCGCGGAGTCTACACATGTGCAGCCTCGAAATTTCTCGCTACGAAGTACGGCGGCCTCGGTAGAATTCCAAGTATGCTGGACATTGGAACAGTCCTTCGGCGGCACTCGATGACGTATCCTTGAAATAGTGGCTCTGGAGCAGCTTTCCTCGACATTGACGGTGCGTCTACACAGCAGCGTTAAAAAAATCTTGAAACGCTTCTGCCCATTCACTTTGAATGGGGTGACGTCACTTTCCCTCACTTTTCGCCGAACTGCATTGTGGGAAGCAGAGCGGAGATTTTCAGGATTCAAAGTTGAACAATGTTCAACTTTTGAGGCTGAGGTGGAAGAGGCAGCCAATCAAATCCCGTGTACGCAAATCTGACAGTTCAAGCTCTAGCCAATCAAACGGCGTGTATGCTGGGAGAGACATACCGCAGGTCATTTCCTCATATTCCAAAACATGGAGGAGAAATTAGCGGTAGGGAATCACCTGGTGCTTTATGACCAGTCCCTATTTACCTACCGGGATATAAACCGGAGGAGCCAGGCATGGAGGGAGGTGGCAGAGACAGTGGTAGGTTTTCGCCTGTTTGGGGAGTTTATATCCAGTTTACTTCGGGCTTTTTTGCTTCGTATGTCGTGGGCGGGAGATTCATGTGATTGGTTGTTCGTGCCTTGCTCGCAAAAAATCCTCAAGCTTCAGATACGCCCACCTCCAAGATTTTTTTAACGCTGCTGTGTAGACGCACCGTGAGAAACAGCCCGTGACATCATTGGGCCCGAAAACACTTTTTCCCATTGACTTATGCTGCATTGACAAAGAGACGTCTGTAAATTAGCATGTCATTTATTTTAAGCTAAATCAACATCCCAGTACAAACTATACCCAGTACTATAGCTCTTATTTAAACCATTAGCATCCAAAAGTTGTAAAAATGTGCTAAGGAAAACTCAAGTTTGCATGCTCTATTGGCCCAAGTCAATGGATGATCGGGTACTTTGAGTCAATGTTTTGAATCATGCCCCAATCAGCATCTTTCATAGGAATGAATGGGGCCTCGTCTCCAGCTGTTTTTCCAGTTGTCTTTATACCTCAATGGAAAGCATCAGGAAAAAAGTTCAAACCGTAAGTTCAATTCCTAATTTGGTTTCTTTAGTCGTCTAAAAATGCTTTGAGTGACAAGTTACAGATGCCAAGATGTGGTTGGGAATGACTTAAGGGACTTTTATCTATAAAACATTTTGGGGTGATAGATGCTTGTCTTTTTGAGATATGAGCTGTATTTTTGGCTTCTGTTTAAGGTTAATTTGAATGTTTTCTACTTTAAAATATATAATTTAAGTATTATTCCCTATGTACAATGACAAATAACTGAAGAGAGAAAAGTCAGAGAGGTGTAAACATAACATATGGAAGAAAAACATCTTAAATACTGTGTTAAAGTTGGGCAGAGCGATATAGCTAATTAAAAATGTCATGATAAAATCTTTCTGTCCACAAAAATTCACAATTCTTTATGTCAAATCCTAAAGATTACCATAAAAAAAAATCTAGATGTGAAATGTTTAAGATATGCAAGATCTTTTGTACCAATAATTTTAAAAAGTCAACTCCCCTCTCTGTATTGGTCTGACCTTTGCTGAAGTTGGCGCTGGCCCCTCTGTCCAGGAGCAGTTCTGTGAGCTCGTAGTTAACCACATTGACGGCACACATGAGAGGCGTCCAATCAAAGCCAAGCCTGGTCTCCACGTCCATGCCTGTCCACAGCAAACGGATCACATTAAGAGCGGCAATGAAATGATTATATAAATAACACAAGATGTCCCTAATGACCCCCAGCACACAAAGATGCAAACACAAAACAAGATCCTGTTGTTTTGTTCAAACTTCCTCTTTTGAATTCTTGTTTTTCTCCATCTCGAATGATTTCAGAAAATCACTTTCTTGCGAAACGTTGGGAATCACAACCAGTCGCTTAAACAATGTTTTCTACATTCTCACTGACTAGGAAGTCTGTCCCCACCACCAATTCAACAATTTAGACATCTTTATAAACAAACAAATTGTATACAAGAATTACATTTTAAGACAACAGGACTCCCATGCAAGAATATTTTCTTATATTTATCTACTAGTGTTTCAAACGTGTAGTTAATTGATCGTCTCAGCCTGAGGAAGTCTAATCATTCTGTGCCAAAATATGAAGAAAAAAAAAATGTCTGAAGAACTCAGTATATGGGCAAGCTAAGACACTGACAACAAAGTTAATAAAATATTATTTTTTCACAAAAGTTGGGCATGTTAGGAGAGTACTTGCCATCGTCCAACAGCTGTTTGACAGTCCCAATGTCTCCTTTACTGATGGCTTGTTTCAACAGCGACACATTATCTTGTGCATGTGGCACAACAGCATCCTGATCCTGAGACAAAAGGGAAAGATTAGGATGGATTTACACATCTTTTACAAATATATATATATTTCCTGCCATTATGTGTGGATGGCATTGACAAGTGTCCATATAGGTGAACAAAGTATTTGACCTTGCAAGTACTAAGAGATATATTGGATAACTATCGTACCTGCTTATGTCCAAGTTATATACTAAACATTTATACATGGTGTTAGGGTAGGTAGTTTTAATGACTTTGTATACTGCAGGGTAGCTTGTACTCCAGGTGAAACTAAAGTCTGATGTAAGTGTTGATTATATTTCACATTATTAATCCAAAACTGTAACTAAAGGTGTTAAATACTTATAGTTGAGTAGAAGTACAAAGTAGCATAACATTGATATACTCAAGTAAAGTACAAGTCTCTTAACATTGTACTTAAATCTACTCAGTTACTAACTTTACACCACTGGTAATGATTGCTAGAAGCTAAGACCATGAAGGAAAATGAGCGGCAGTGCTATTTCAACACAAAAGTATACCCTTCTCCCCATTTTCAAAATACATTTACGAATATACATCTAACATCCTGACTATAACGAGTTTGTGCCAGCCTATATGTTATCTTTTGTTTCTATTTTACCGGCTATAAAACAGCGAGTTTGCATCGTCAAAAGAAGCCAATGATAGCTCAACACATGTTAGCTACTAGCTAGTGAGCTAACGTAGCTTCTGTTAGTTTCTAGTAGCAAACACGACACGTTTTCAGAAAAGATGAGAGGTTTTATAACATTACCTCAATTTGAGGGGACTTTTTATCCAAACAAAACCCGATATCCCAATCGCCGTTGCTACCGTCGCTTTCATCTCCAGCCGGGAAGGAGTTTGCAGTGGTGAAGTCCATAGCTAATTACAACGCGCAGATGAAGTTTTTTTTTTTCCAACTTTATTGAGCAATTATTCCAATACATCAGAAAAGGGAAGAGGTGGGAACTAACTGAGTACATTTACTCAGGTACTGTACAATTCAGAGGTAAATCGTGTACTTTTCCTCCACTACATTTATTGAATACCTTTAGTTACTTTACAGATCTGGATGAATGATGTGAAATATAACCAAGTGTTAAATCAGACTTTAGTTCCACCTGGAGTAAATTCACAAGCTACCCTGCAGTATACAAAGTCATTCAAACTAGCTGCACCTTTACCAGCTTTGAGAACACTTTAATGATCAATCATTATAAAACACATCATAGGCTATATTCTGAAATGGACCAATCTGCACAATGACTACTTTTAATGTCGCTACTTTAACTATATTTTGATGATAATACTTTTCTACTTTTACTTGAGGAACATTTTGAATGCAGGACTTTTACTGTAACAGAGTATTTCTACACTTTGGTACTTCTACTTTTACTCAAGTACAAGAGCTGAGTACTTCTACTTTTACTCAAGTACAAGATCTGAGTACTTTTACTCAAGTACAAGATCTGAGTACTTTTAATCAAGTACAATATCTGAGTACTTCTACTTTTACTCAAGTACAAGATCTGAGTACTTTTAATCAAGTACAATATCTGAGTACTTCTACTTTTACTCAAGTACAATATCTGAGTAGCCTACTTCTACTTTTACTCAAGTACAAGATCTGAGTACTTCTCCCACCTCTGATAGACGCATTTGGCCTTTAGCTGTGAATGCTTATGCTATCTTATGCTAGTTTGATATCACTAGCATTTAGTCATCTGTTTCAACTCATAATTAATGTTAATGCTTTTGTTTTTATTTTTTGTCCAAAGGGTACTCTGGACAAGTGGATATGGCAGGTGAGTGCTCTTTCTAGTGTACATCTCACATCAATACAATCAATTAAATATATTCCACTTGTTGATTGGATTCCTCATTTTTATTACATAACATATTAAATGTAGGGTTTCATCTCAAAATTATTTAAAATGTCAGAATGTAATGTCATACGTCCATTGAAGTTTCTCAAGGTGATGTCTTTAAATGTCTCTATATTTGTCTGTCCAATTACCAAATGCTTTCAGTTTCATAACTGATTTAAACCAGAAAAATGCATGAAATCCCAATATTTAAGGAGCTGAAAATATCATTTTCTTCTGACAATGTTGCTTGTAAAATATATTTTTAAAAGAGTTTAGGTAAAACACTTACAGGCAGGATGTGCAGGTCCTTTTTAAATACATTAAACTTGGCATGCTGTATTTAAAAAGCAAGTTTCAAATGTAAATAATGAATCAAAAGTCCCAGGATTGGTTCCTACCAAGGCTCAAAATAGATGGTTGGGTTGGGACTGTCATTATTTATAACGATGTATGCATAACTTACTTCTGAAACTTCTGAAATGTCGTGCTTTGGGATGAAATGTTATCTTGCTGCAAGAGACAGTAATTGTCCAGCAGAGGTCAGTCTTTCCTCTAAGTCAGAGACACATTACCTTATGTCCTTCAGTAGTAATGGGTGTACGTTTTGCAACATGTTAAGAAGCACCCCACAGTTTAACTTCAATAACGTTTTTAAGAAACAGGAAAAAATAGATATTGCAATTCTTTAATTCCAACTCGTCCCATTAGTAACGGGGTAACTGTCCCTTTTCATTTGTTTATTCTGTATAATCCAATGTGTTTTTTAGGCAATTTGACCTACATATTTTTATATTTTGATTCATGTTTGCACTATATTGTGTATCCCCTCCCCCTTGGTGTTTCTTGAACATACAGTACAGACTAGTCTTGTTCTCTTTGTGTGTTTTCATATGACACTGTTGGAGGTATAATGCAACTTAAATCCATTTCTGTGCAGGTCACGTCTCCACGTCAAAGCTAAAATGAAAGCTGCTCTCTTAACCACTATTGAACTTTCCCTTTATTACTAAAAACTCATGGAGCTCATCTCCCATAATATCATAATTATTCATCAAACAAAACCCTGATTTGGATGTATTCTTTGCCTGACAGTATTTGTCTTTTTGTATCTTGGGCACATAGTCTGGGAGGTAATGAATACTGAGGAAATATAGCACAAAAACCTAACCTGCTGCTACGTCACAGTCAAAAAATGTTGGATCAATATGAGCTAAATATTAAATTCCCCCAAAAGATTAACCCGACCGATGTGTCACTGTTAGTCACTCCAGCTGAAGTGCTGACACTGAAGATAACACTCAGTTTTGGTGATATTGTGAAGTCTCACCACATCTGTACGTGTTATCTCTGTTCCCTGAAGGAATGTCTGGAGGTTTTGATCCTCCCTCTCCTGAAACTGTGCGTAACCTGAAACTGATAAAAAATAGTTTTAGATATCCTGGAACTGTTTCTTCTTTTTTGTGAATGATAGTGAAGCATAACAAAGCCACAACTAAAAAGTAGAGCAGCTTCTGGCAACTTTCAACTATCGCTTTCAGGCTTTGTTATAGTTATCCTATCAGTTATAGTAACATAAGTAGCTAAAGGAGACTTCCCTCATGCTGTATGAGCATACGTGTCCATTGAAATCAGACCACTTCATGTTTCTATTTACAAATAATGCCCATACTAACTTTCTATTTGTTTGGGACAATTGGTAGTCTGTGTTTGCAATATTTTAGGCGTTTTTAAAGCAATTGTCTCCTTTATTGAAGTGTTGAAAATGATTGTTTTTACAAGTAAGGGTGATTTAAAAACTGTTGTGGATACATGAAGAGGTTGTAATCTAAGATAAACAATTTAGGCAAGACATATTTATTATATAGCACAATTTAAACACTTAGTTTTAAGCAGCTTTACATATACTCTCATTAAATCAATCCACAGCATCATATAAGTATTTTTTATTTTATTTTGTATTTCTTTGAACAGGTGAGGACTGAAATCATACAGTACAATCAGTTAAGAATAATAAAATAATGCAATTAAATTACTAATACGGTCACAATGGATATAAAAGAGGTCAGACAAAAAATAAGACATTTATTTATTGATTTTAAATTCTTTATTTGGGGTCACATAGTATTTATATAGCAGTTTTCTCAGTAACAGTTCAATCCTTTTAGTGACCCAAAAATAGCAAACTCACCAACGTACAATATGTAAGGAAATAAACAAATAATAATAAATAAATACATTAAAAAAAAATGAAATAATAATAATAGTAAATAAATAAAACAGTAGACATGGTGTTCATCTTTGTGAAGAAAATAAAAAATGTTTAAAATAAAAAGTAATTTTCCCAATATATATCCCTCTCCTCCTTTTACGAGTTGGAGAATAAAGAGCTCTTCATAGCTTTGTGATAATTAAAAACACTTAATAAAAACCAACATAACTCAAAAGACACAAGTCTGAATAAAATCTATTAAAAGCCAAACTAAACGTACCTGTTAAGGCATCAAAGTCTCCAACAATAAGTTCCTTTAACTACATTTCCTCTGAACATGCACACACTTATTCCCCACTGACCTCATACGATGACTGTTCATCCTGCCTGCTTCTGTATATGGATCAATATCTGTGAGCTGAAGTGGCCTCATTTGGATCAACTGGCTTCACCTCTCCACTTGTTGCCACAATAAGCGACCTGATGCTCGTCAGCGTGGAAATGACGTGCACGTTTTTTGGCGAGTCCATAAATAAAGGATGGCCTGTCCTCTCACTGTCAGTCTGAAGGAGAGGCAGCAGAGGGAAGGTGGCACCATTGGAGACGCTCACAGGACAGATATATATATATATATATACTGTATATATATATATACCAGGGTTTTTTCTTTCGGAGGGGAGGAAGATATCTAAACCGTGACATCATATTTACCGGAGGCACAACAGTGGAGGATAAAACAGGCGCAAATGTGACTTAAGGAACAGACTCAGGTGCAAAGAAAGCAAACTGGCGGCGCACTTAATATGCAGAAGTCACCAGTGGAAGATGCAAACTTCCTCTCCAAATATTTCTTCTGGTAAGTCATGTTTTCTTCTACATCCTTTGATTATCTCTGGACGGCAAGGTGCAGCTGCTCATTTGGTGACTTGCGCATTTATATCTTGAGTAATTAACGACTAAATCACTTGCTACATATCTGTATTTGGTCATTGTAGAGTTTTAAGCGTTTTTGGCGGTGTGTTGAAAGTTTTGCATGGGCTCAGGTACAGATATGATTCGGTTTTCTGATTGACAAGTTTGTTTATGATGTATTTGCGTCGTAATTTGCTTCCAAAGAAGAGTAAATAAATACAAAAGTGCACTGGGAAGTAGATTGTTAGCTTACAAAACGCGCATTTTGCAGATTAGCTTGTGCGCAAAAAGTACGTTTTGCTCCGTTTAAGTGTGTTCTAGAAAACGCTGTCAGGTGGGAGTAGGCGCACCAAGGGTTTGCTAACTCATCAATATCTGACCGCATTGAATCAAAAAGTATTATAAACGCTAATAGCATTACTAATAAGCAAACATTAACGACACATTTAAAGGACGTTTTGATGAAAATGATGTGTTTGAGAATTTTTGCTTTGATATCTAAGTTTTCTATGGTTCAATCATTTGTGTGATGTTTGTATATCCTTCCTCTTAAATTACAACACACACTGATTTCAGTTTAAGCTGCACTGAGCTCTAATGAGAGGTCACCAAAGAAAGAAGCAGACTCCAAAAGTCAGATGATGTAATCTCCTTTATGTCACCAGCCTTTCTTTAAATGGTTCAGCCATGAGACTAGCAAACATCTGACTTTATGTCCGCTCTCTGTCATTATTCTTACTGTGAAACCTCGGGGATTACTTCTGTTACAACCAACACCAGTTTACACTAGAGCTCCCAGACACTCAACAACAGTGGCTTTTATGCCAAAGGGTTACCCTCCAACCACAAACAAACAAATACATCTGATACAAGTAATACTGAATCACTTAAAAAGGTATTTTATGTGTGTTAAATGTACTTT